GTACATTACATGATCACTGAACAGTCACAGATCTGCTCACTAAATTGGGATATCGTCCATGAATTAAAAATTCAAGTCACAAAAAAAGAACAAACCAGATGGAGTTAAGTAATGCCATTAATAGCAGAAAAATAAACGGGGTTTGTCTTATTTTCTGATGAGTTGTTGTGACCCTACTACTGACAAGAATAGCCCATATTTTAAGTAATATTTGTTGAGAGCAAAGTCCATAGGAAATTTCGTTCCTAAATGGATAAACTTTTTTGTTTTTAAGCAATATAAAAAAGTTAAATTGTATCTTTCCAAACAAGATAATTTCTCAGATTATATAGTTAAGCACACATGCAGAATTTTAGTTTTGAATTTAAAGTGTGATTACTGTCCAGGTATTAGTCATGCAGAAATTTAAAATGATTTTCTTGATATTCATCAAAGAAAATGATTATTTTCTTCTTGATTTTGACCCCATTTGAACAACTGCTCACAATTTTTTCCATGGGAGCCATGTTTTGTAGTATTTCTAGAGAAAAAATATAAATGAGCCTGGTGAGAAGCAACAGAATTAGTTTTGTGAAGTTGGATTAGTATTTGCATACAATCAAATATGATCCTTATTTTAATATTTTCTTCCTAAGATTATTATGCACCTATCCTTAGAATGGTTTTGATTTAGTTTCTTGCAGTCCCCCCGCCCCCCTGTCTGTGAAGTGTAGAATGAAAATATCTTTGTTGTTTGCACTTCCTTTACTACCACTAACTAGCTGTACACATCTGGCTTCCATTGGAGAGCCCCTGACATCGCAGGGAACGGTGATCAAAATTCCACACTCTAGCTTCAAGCTGGGGGCTCGTAGCTACGCAGCATCGAAAGGGAATCTTTTCCTGGCTTCTTTAAAATGAGCATGGTGATGGGATGGTTTAAGGGAAGAACACCTCTCAAATCACATGACCACTGCTGTGCTTTCGTGTGTCCTGCTTTCTTCATAACAGCTTGGCACTACATTCTTTCCTTGTATTGTTAGTGGACCTTTTTTGTATGTATGAATGGGCTGGGGGCTGGGGACATAAGTGAATGGTTATACATTATGCATGCATCTTTCACCATTAGAGTGAAGTGCCTTCCCTTAATGTATCACAAATTATAATCATATTTAACTTCTGTGTCCTGAGTGATTGAGCTGTTTCTGTTTCTCCCTTTTTGGTGTGAGATTTGTATGTTATTGATATGTTTTGACATTTACACCTTCAGTTGTTCATGTTACATTAAACATAAGTTAAAATTTTCTCCCAAAAGAGTTAGCTTTTCATGTTGGACTGGAAAAGTCTTCATTTCTGTGTAGCATTTCATGTTATTATAACCTATGGCTTTCAATTGTACCTCCTATAATGAAGAGCTGACTTTAAACCCTGTGCTATTCTTATAATGACCTAAGTGTAAGGTAAGTAATTTATCTGTCTCTAAAGATTGTGGCTGCTTGTTAAAATTTTTCTCAGCTTTTTAAAAAGGCATTTTTGCTTTTCCTCCTTACCATTTATTATGTGTTGTCCTTCTTTTCTTTCTGTTTCATATCTTAAGATTTATTAATAAGCAATGTGATCTTAAGCAAAAATTCTATTTCACATGTAAACACATGTCTAAATATATTATTTGATTTCTCGTATCTTGATTAGTTAGTGGATACCTGTGTCTTCAGTAAGTCTCCTTTATTTTCTTTTCCTCCATTTACTGTAATAAATACACTGTTCTTACATTGTTCTAGTCTTGATTCCTGTGGAAGGGAGAATCATTCATCTACGCTATAAAACCAGTCAGCTGTTAATTGCAACAAAATAACATGGTTAATTGAAATAAAATAAAATATTTTAATAATAAAATTGTAGGTATTATAATATTATACCTTCCATTCAACCATTCATTCTCTTCCCTTAGAAATCTAATGTAATCCCATAATCTCAGAGTAATTAATTTTCATGTGTTCCTTTTTCCCTACTTTTTAAACTAGTAACAAAATAAAATGAAATAAATCTTGATACTCACTTGATACTCCTTTAAAATTAAATTTTATTATATTATGTTATATAAAAACCTTATTATTAAGATTTTATTAAAAAATAAATACTATAAATATGACATATAGCATAGTCATTCCATACATAAACAGTAAATTTTTAAAAATTACTTTCTTCGAGGTTTTTTTAGATAAATACTTTCAAAATCACTCAATAAAATCTTATAATCCCCAATTTAAAAAATAATTTCTCTCAAATCTGGTTCAACAGCCAATGTAACATAAATGGGAAAAAATTACACTACTTTTGCCAATTTGCAAACCTTGATAAAGGGTCCTATTTCAGAGAACTGAATTGGTTTCATTCTCCAAATGTCTCCTCTAGAGTTGTTTGAAATTTGTGGTTCCAAACTAAGGTACAAAAAGGCAATATGGGTTTCTTTATACGTATTATAAACAGTTGTGGGATTTTGTTAATTTTTAAGCCATTTAGAAAAGCAGGAAAGATGTAGGATGTTTTTGTTTGCTTTGGTTTGGTTAGAAAATACCAGGGAGTTCTTTACTACCATTCCCATTATATACATTATCAGATGTATATAATAGACTTTGTGTAAATTTGTTGGAACATTTTATGAGACGATTTGAACTACTCATCTGAACTGCACTGTTCATTGTAAATTTCTTGTTTCTATCCATACACTAGCTCCACTCTAGATTGGAAGGGCTTAAAGATGAACTCTGGAGGAATAGAGGCTACGACTTAAGAGTAACTATTACTGACCAAAGGAGCTACTTTCCACTCGCAAACATAGCTTTGCGCGATGGGTTTGGCTCCTTCACGTCTTGTTTCACATCCTGTTGAAGACTTTCTTGACTTCCATTTGACTTCTTTGAGCTGTTTTGTCTTTCAACATTTCCTCTTTCTTTTCCTTCTTTCTCCCAGATTTTCTTCCCATGCTTTTAGCGTTCTGTTGTGTTGAGTCACTTTTTCAAATGTAGTTTCTCTCTTTATTAAGCTTGTCTATTAATTTGTCTGTTGGTGTGTGTTTCTTTTCTATGTTAGACTGCAGTGGTAGAGTTACACTTGTTTTCATTCCATGGTACGCAGATTGCTTATTTATTTTGCATAAAGTTCATTATTTACACTTCTCTTCTTGGATATGAATTTTCAATAAGAAGTAGTAGAGCATTCTCCATTTGTACACTGTCCCCCTTATGTAAGCCTATGCATTATTATTTTTATCTTCCACATTTAATTCCTCAATCTCTCTTTCTGGTTTTTCTTTTCTTTATTCTCATATTTTCTTCCATGTCTTATTTTATTTAAGTCACTAATTCCTTTCTCATTTGGTCCAGAATTGTTCTTCGATAAGACTTGTAAATAAAAGAATTTATAAATTTCTTTTTCTGAATTAGTGTCATTGTACTATACAAAAACTACAAAAGCAGTCTGGGCCAAAAGAAAATAACTAACATTTTTAATTGTTTGTTCATTTTGCTGTGTGTATGTGCGTGTGCATGGTGCCTGTGTGTGTGTGTGTGTGTGTGTGTGTGTGTGTTTGTGTGTGTGTGTGTGTCTTTACATTTATTTGCTTTGGTTTTTGCTGATTGTTTGCCTTTGTCTGCTCATTTTTATTATTATTTCTTTAAACATTAACAATTTGCTTTTTTCAGGGAAGGACAACCATAACCTACCCTAAGTTACAACATTCCTTTCATAAACTGTTTCATATATCTTTAGACTGTGTTAAGCTATAGAAAGTTCTTTGTTGTGTATATATCCATCTGGGGCAAGCTGCTGTGGAGTGGGAGGAAGAGGTGTGGGCCTTGATTAAAGTCATATCTGAAATTAATAGCAGTGCCATTTAGCATGGCCATTGAATACAGCCATTTGGCAAATTTCAAAAGAAATATGCCACTTTAACCTTAATTTTTCAATGAGAGCATAAAGAACCCCTAATTGAGAAATTATATGCACACCTAAACTGGCTAATAAAGAAGTTGAATTTAACTCATTTCCAATAGAAAAATCTTTCATAGCCAGTATTATAAGATGTTATTATAATCAGTATTACAAAAGTTACTACCATCAAAGGTAACTATTACAGATAAGAATTTTTCTTTTCTCCTTGTTAACACATATATATAATAAAAATCATTACAATAGAATATTCAATTTTAATTTCGCTTTGATTTTGTTATTGTTTAAGTACAAACATACAAAATATTTTTAGATTAAGGATTAATATTCAAAGCTGAATGTACAGTATTGAATTTTTTCCATGTATACTCATCCTTCAATAACTGTAATAAGCTCTTATCAAGACCTCCATAGATCCAAATCCCAAAGATATTGAATTCTTATATAATAAAATGGCATATACTACTTACATACAGCCTACGTACATCCAACCATATACTTTACTCTATATTGTCTCTAGCTGAATAGGCAAGTGCTCTACCATTGAGCCACATCTGCAACCCTCATCTCTATTTTATTACTATTTTATAACCTAATGCAATATGAATGCTATGTAAATAATTGCTGTATTGTATTCCGTAAGGAATAATGACAAGGAAATAAAGATCACATGTGCAGTACAGATATAGTGCTGGTGTTTTGTGTTGGTTTTCTCTCCTCCTTTTTTTTTCTTTTCCTTTTGATCCACAGTGTGTTGAATCTGCAGATATGAAACCCACAGACATGAAGGGCCACCTGGACTGATCTCAAATACACATAAATTGCTTTGAGTATTATCTTTGTCCAATTTATAATATTGTACCTTAAATATTTTTATGAATCTCATTCTTTATTAAGTAAAAATGAATTAAATATATCTGAAAAATGTAATAGACTTTTACTAACATGTTGTGATAGCCAAGATAAATAAAACCTTTTCTCCTAATCCTCAGGAGCTTGCCCATTAAGCATACGTATCTTACAGTCCATATTATAAGCCCTAAATTACTGAGTTTGTGCTCTTTCTGCAGGTCCAGTCCAGGTGCAGCAGCAAGGAGAACATTCTCAGAGCCAGTAAGTAGTCATCTTTCCAGGTAGGCTACCAAACTATGTACACTGTGGCGCAACAGAATAGAGAGCTAAAGAATGGTGAAAAAAATGAAGATGAGCAATGACGAAAGTTTATATCAAGAATATGATTTTATAAAATCTACCATCTGAAAATTTTCTTAATATCAATATAAATAAATGTCTCCCCAAATCTAATTATTTTTGCAAACTGAATGGAATTTGATGCATTTAACTTAAGGTGAAAGTGAGCGCTTCTATTACCTTAAGGGAAAGAATTTGCCCCTTTAATAGTCTCATTGCCACTAATGATTTAATGACAGACTACATAAAAATAACTCTGATGTAAGTCCATGAAAGCAAGAGAGGGAGAAGCAAGCTGGGCATACATGGTTGTAACTTCAGCACTTAAGGATGAAGCAGGAAGACCGAAGCTTTAGGCCAGCCTGTGCTATATCATGAGACCATGTCTCAAAAGTGGGTTGGAGTGGGTAGGTAGTAAACAATAATTTTGTCAATATGATTTCCAAAATATTTTACCTTCACAGGCAAAATGTTATAGAACATTGTTCCTGGTCCAAGAATAGAAAATCCTTAACCTCTCTTTTAGTTTGAGCACTACAATATTAACTTGAAAGTCACTAAACTTTGTATATTCGTTTCCTTGTTTTATAAAAATGAAACTGTGAATAGGTTTTTTTAAAAGCTAGTATCCTTAAAAAAAAAAAAACTAGTATTCTTAAAGTGAAATCCTATTGAAAATTTTCCCATTAAAGCTTTGAGATCCTCCAGAGAAAAACGCTGCATAATGCTAATTGTTGTGTTATTTTTCTATCTCTTAAAATTTGATGACCTCATTCACTCTTCTTCCTATTGGTTTTCAGTAGATGTGCAAGATAAGCAGAATTAAATAGGTCTGCTAGATGCCCACACTAATGGGAGTTTATATTATAGTAGAATGTCAGTATTATTTAGCAGTCAGAGCATACTTGGAGGGCTGGAGAGACAACCCGATTAAGGGGAAAAAATCAAGTCATAGCCATATTCACAGCTATACCCAGCACTGTGGGGAATGGAGACTAGAGGATTCTGCAGCTTACTCAAGTACCCACTCAGGATAACGACAGTGGGGAGAAGGCACGCTCCAGGTTTAAGGAAAGCGCCTTTCTCAAGGGAATAAGGTAGAGAGTCTATTAAAGCAGGACACACAGTGTCTACAAATGGCCTCTGCACACACACACATATATGTACACATCATAACACATATATGTACCCTACACATACTCAAAGCCATAACTGTTTACTAGTAATATTCACTATAGAAACTTAAGCAGAAGAATTGAGAGTTAGAAATCAACCTAGGGTATAGAATTTGAAAAAAGTGGGGCATATTTGAGAATTTCAAATAGGTTAGTGTGTGTATATGTTTATTTTATATAAGTATTCTACTTACTAGAATATTTCTATTTCTGTGTTATGAACCTGTTAACTTTGCTTTAAAACCCTTGAGTATGTTTGATCATGACCTTTAGATAATACTACAAAAAAATTAATTTAGGGCTGGATTGGATATGACTCAGTGGTAGAATGCTTCTCGATTATTCATGAGGCCCCAGGTTCAATCTCCAGCACTGCAAAATAAATTAATTAATAAATTTAAACAAAAGGCTAGAGAGTGAAGAGCACTGGCTGTAACTCTAGTTCCAAGGGGATCTAACTCCTCCTGCAGACAAATCTTTATATTAAATGAAAAGAATAAGTTAAAAAATTTAAAAATATATATAAATAAAATAGATTTCAATATAAGCAGATGTGTAGGTATCATATCTTCACAACTTTCTACAATAAGTTGTAGTAAAAGGAGCAGCAGGCCGCCTCCCACCGCCCAGCTCCTGGCTAGCTATACCCAAAATAATTACACGAAAACTATTCATTTAAACACTGCCTGGCCCATTATATCTAGCCTCTTCTTGGCTAACTCTCACGTCTTGCTTTAACCCATATCTAGTAATCTGTGTATCACCACGGGGCTATGGCTTACCGGGTCTTGCTTTAACCCATATCTAGTAATCTGTGTATCACCATGGGGCTATGACTTACCGGGAAGTTTCTAACCTATGTCCATCTCAGACCAGAGAATCATGGCATCTACCTGACTCTGATTTCTTTCTCCCAGCCTCTGTTCAGTCTACTCCACCTTCTAAGCTGCTGTCCTATCAAAAGGCCAAGGCAGTTTCTTTATTTGACCAATGAAAGTAACACATAGACAGAAGACCCTCCTACACCAATAAGTGACTCTGACAGAGCCTTTTATAATGAGATATAAAATCTTATAAACACTAATACTTAAGTTTGAGAAACCTATGGGTCAGACATGGTAGTTGAATGTTAGCTAAAATTAAACAAGATAGACAAATGAACTTTAAAATTGCATTTTATGATCTATAGTTCATAGTTTCCACCAATTTATAGTCCTGAAATTATAGGCCACTGAGAGTAATTATGGTGATTAGAAACAAAAAGAATAGTTACTTTTTGAGGACAAATTCCCTTGAACTTTGTTTTCTATCACAAACTTTAGTAGTATATTTCAGTTAGTATCTTCCTGTACTAGTGGCTTATAATGAGTTTAGATAGACATCATGATTGCCCAAGTATTCTTTATTATTTTCTTTGGATAAATAGTCATATAGATTGGGCCTTATGACTCTTCAGGTCCATATGGAGCTCAAGCAAGATCATAACTTTATAGTTTAATGATTTCTCTAAGTTTGTGTTCTTTCATCTTAATTCCATGCTGATAACTCGTGTTCATACCCATGGCCTCACCCAAGTTCAGCACTCTATTCTTTCTCTAGGTTCATTTTTTTTTTATGATGAGTTGTGTTTCTTTGCCTCTGTCTGTGTGTATGTGTCTTATCTATGTGAAAACATCAATGCCATGGCACAGGTGTGGAGATCAGAAGACAACTCTTGGGAGTCATTTCTCTTGTTCCATCATGTTAATCTCAAGAATCAAACTCAGGACATCAATCTTGGCTGCATGTACTTTACCCACTGAGCCATCTTGATGGCCTGTTTCTCTGAACTTTACTACAATATTTCTATTCCTTATATAGACTGCTCTTATATTCCTAATCTTCTTATTTACCATGTAGTACCATATTGCAATTATATAGAAGCTATTAATGGTTACTCATTCTCTCAATACTAAATACTGCCTGCATTCCTTTTCAATTTTCTCCATGCGTAAACAATCTACCATGTATGCATAAGCCATCTACCATTTGTTAGGATTCTTTTGTGACACCTCTGAGTTTCCCTTAGTCAGGGTGACTAATCTTTCTTGTATACCCCTAATCAATCATTAATCAAGGAAAATGTTCCTGTATCTTTCCTACAGCCCAATCTGATGACATTTTCTCCCTTTTTTTTTTTTTTTAGAATTCTTTTATCATGTATACAGTATTCTGTCTGCATGTATGCCTGCATGCCAGAAGAGGGCACCAGATTTCATTATAGATGGTTGTGAGCCACAATGTTGTTGCTGGAAATTGAACTCAGAACCTCTTGAAGAGCAGTCAATGCTCCTAACCTCTGAGCCATCTCTCCAGCCCCTGATGACATTTTCTCAATTGAGGTTCCTTCTTCCCAGATGACACCTAAAGCTGAGTCAGGAAGCCTCTCCCAAAGGAGAGTACTTAAATTGCTGCTACCAGAAACCATGCGTAATGCTGTTATTTTGCATCTAGAATTACTTCCCAACTTGTCTCAGGCTTTATGTGGATGCATTTGGCGCCATTTGTAACTTGAGGGCTTGCTTTGTTGGCCTGGCCACCCATCTAGCTTAGCCCTGAAATAATCACATAGAACTGTATTCATTAAAACATTGTTTGGCCCATTAGCTCAGGCTTCTTATTAACTATTAAAACTTATATTAACCCATTGTTTTTATCTATGTTAGCCAAATGGCTCAGTACCTTTTTCAGCGGGACAGGTCACATCCTGCTTCTTTCGTGTCTGGACAGGACTGCAGAGGAATGGGTTTCCTTCTTCCCAGAATACTCCTGTTCTCATTTCTCCACTTCTACTTCCTGTCTGGTTGTCCCGCCTATACCTCCTGCCTGGCTATTGGCCAATCAGCATTTATTTAAAACATAATTGATAGAATACAGAATTGTCCTGCACCACTCAGACTTATTAATAACTAGCTCTTCAACTTAAATTAAGCCATAACTGTTGTCTATGTTTAGATACATGGCTTGGTACCTTTTCTTAGTAAGGCATTCTCATGTTGCTTCCTCTGACTTGGTGACTGACTCTCTGCCTTTCCTCTTCCCAGAATTCTCTTAGTCTAGTTGCCCTGCCTATAATTCCTAAGTATATTCAAAAACCTTATTTCTAAAGCATTCCAAAATCATGAACTAATCCAAAAGCATAATGCCAGTGCATGTATTAAGTTAAATTTAATGGCATATCTTACTGACAAACTCTACTGTACTCCATAACTTTTGCTATCTGGGTAGATTTTGCCTTAGACAAAGGATCACATTCTTTGCTTTTGTTTTTCAAGATGGGGTTTTTCCTGTAACATCCATAACTGTCCTAGAACTTCTTTCATAGACCAGATTGGCCTCAAATTCACAGAGATTCACCTGCCTCTGCCTTCTGGGAGGGCTGGAATTAAAGGTGTATTTCCCATCAAGTTTCTTTTGTTTTATATTTTATAACAGTGATACAGAAACTCTATGAATGCAGTAGAGAGCTTTGAGATAGTGGATGAGTGCATAAGAGTACTTGCTGTATATGCACGAGAACTTGAGTTTGAGAGCTCAGCACCTACCTTAAAAAATAAAAAAGCTGGCCATGGCCCTCAATTCTGGGGGCACAGATAGCTGAATTCAAGGTGCTAGCTGGCTAACTAGCCTAGACAAAACAGGGAGCTTCTAATTCAGTAGATAAACCCTGTCTTAAAAGAATGATGCAAGGAACAGTGAGAGAAAATT